AGGTGGCCGCCCTGTCTGTTAAAACTAATTGTGCCACTTTTATAAAGAAATAAAGGCCTGAGGAGGAAGGCTGGCTCTCCAACTCTGAACTCAAGAGAGTCATGACCGTGTTCCTTTCCCTCTGCTTCTTTCAGAAATTCTGATAAATTATGGGGAAATGATTAAAAGAAACAGAGTCTCACGGCTAAATAAAAAAAGGAGAGTGTGGCCAGCAAGATGAGAGAAAGACTAAGCTGTAGTGGATGGAGGCTCATCCCTGGCACGAGGCCTCAGAGAGTAGGAGCTAATAGGTGGCCAGGGGGAGGCTCAAAGCATGCTCATGTACCACAGTCAGGGCTTAGAGAACTGGCCGCCTGGCCGGCTCAGGAGCCAACAGAGCAGAAGGGCTGGCGGGCACATTTGTGCAGTGTTTCTACGTCTGTAAAAGGGACGAAACCCTCTCAAGCCACTCCCCGACCCAGCAAAAAACCAAAAGTTCCGTCTCAGGATCTTTGGATTCAGCGACAGCCAGGAGCAGAGGATCATGCTCGAAAAAACATGGGCTGTGACCAAAACCCTGCGTGCTAAAGGGCGAGCGCACGGGCTCCTGCTGTCCTTGGCTTCCACAGAGGCCGTAGCCAAAAGCAGCCAGGCAGCAGATGTAAGATTAACCTCTTAAACACTGCACAGGTCTGCTAGACCACAAAAAGCACTGGGTTTGACCCTTAGCATCACAGAAAACAGACCAAACCCTTTCTTTCCCCAGCTCCTCTGGCAGGGTGGGGAGGGGGGAGAGTAACAACTATTATGTCTCTAGTGGGAAAAAAATCTCTATCTGCTAAGCTTGTTGATGAGGCAGGAGGGGCAGAAGTTCAAGGCCAACCTTTGCCATGTAGTGAGCTGAAGATTACCCAAACACCACACACACTATAAACTCAAATGTATATGCATATAGCCAATGGTACATGTGCACAGGTGTGTGTATTCAAGACTACACACACACAAATATGTTACTACTCACAAATAAGAACTGGGAAATAAAGAAATCTTGAAATTCTAATATGCAAGAGGCAAAGGCAGGTAGAGTTCTATGAGTTTGAGACCACCTTTTTTTTTTTTTTTTTTTTTTTTGGTTTTTTCGAGACAAGGTTTCTCTGTGGTTTTGGAGCCTGTCCTGGAACTAGCTCTTGTAGACCAGGCTGGTCTCGAACTCACAGAGATCCGCCTGCCTCTGCCTCCCGAGTGCTGGGATTACAGGCGTGCGCCACCACCGCCCGGCTTGAGACCACCTTAATCTATATAAAGAGTTCCAGGTCAATCAGGGCTACATAGCAAGACCTGTTTCAGAGAGAGAGAGAGAGAGAGAGAGAGAGAGAGAGAGAGAGAGAGAGAGAGATAAAAAAATGCAGAAAAGTCAAAAGTTTTAGATATTGAAGTCAAAAATTTTCCCAGAAATAAACACCAGAATTTGAGGTGGCATTAGATTTTGTAAGGGGACCATTAGAAGTGAAATGATGTCTTCAGAATTCTCACATGCACTTTCAGCCTTGTCTTTTATAGCCAGAACAACTATCTCATCATGTGGGAGGACAGACTAGAGCAGTTTCAGGCATTTGTCCCCGAAAAATGGTGTTCCTCGTATGCCTTTCTCAGATAGGGATGTGCAAAACAAAAAGACACAAAGTAAGAAGGATCCAGCTATTCCACTCCTTAAGAACTCCATCTCCTACCATGGGATACCTGCACATCCATGTTTCTGCTGCTCTATTTACTATAGCAAAGAACATGGACTCAATTTAGATGTCCATCGACAGACGAATGTGTAATAAAAACATGATACACATATGCAATATTCGGCTATATAGAGAAATGAAATCTGCGGGGAATGGATGGACTTGGGAAGCACAATAAGGGGAAAGAAAAACTGTTGGCTCTCTCTCATGCGCAAATCCTAGCCTAAACTGTATACAAGAATATATGTAAACAGGGGTAAGCATGGATATAATACAAAATTTAGAAAGGAGACCAAGGGGGTAATAAGTGATGAGGACAGATGGAATGCAGGCAAAAGGACACGAGTCACGACAGAGGATGTACAGCTAATATTTTTTTAGTTTCAATTTATGTGTGTGTTGCATAAGTTAACAAAGACGAACACACGAAGCTGTGACTTGGGAACAGCTCTCCGAACTGTACAGAAGCTGGCTGGCGAGAAAAACAGAGGTGGGGACTACAGTTTGAGAAGTGTTTTTGAACCCTGCTGGGCTCAGTTTTCATCTGTGAGTCATTAGAATAAAGTCTTTTGATTTAAAAAAATATCATAAGGAAATAAATCGAAAGAGGAAAATGAAGAGTTAAAAAAGAGATCTAGCCCAAAAGAGAGCAAAGGAGATCTAACGATGACGATGACGGCAAAGGAAGTGCCTGTGCAGCCGTCAGCACCGAGAAGGGGTGGGGATGAGGACCTCTCAAGCCATTGGTGGGAACAGTCACCGTGTGCAAGGACAGGGCTTGGCTCCCAACTCATTATCCGGAGAAACCTAAACAAGAAAGACTCCAGTGAGAACCGTGGGCTGGGAGAGGTTAATCAGTGTTCCTAGCATAGCTGCCAGCAGTGTTGTCAACTGTCAATACTCAGTCATGGAACAGGACACAGGGACGGCCAAGCTCCAGGGCATAATTCTGCGAAACGGAAGCTGCGCTTGGGACAGGGTTGAGACTGTTCAACTCCTTGATTTCCATAGGGGGACGTCAGACAATAATATCTCGGCCCAAAAGCCCTGCACATAGCATGTTATTTGGAACTGTAAGGGCAAACAGGAGCAAGAGCAACCTGGCTGAGAGGCATGGAGGTCCAGGGGCACACTGACTGCTGATGTTCATTGTGAGGTCATCAGGCAACTAGAACTTCTGGTATTATGTACACAAAATGACTTGGCATAAAACCAAACCAAACTACATGTCTGTCTCTCCACACACATGTATGTATATGCAGTTCCAATTGCTACTGATGATGCAAACAGCAGATCCTGGTGAGAAGGGTTTCAAACGCTCTGAAGAAGCCAGACATTGGACTCATGGTTTGCAGAGAAGGGGCCCTGCAAAAGGGACTTGGCCTCCACCCTGAGTTGATGGGAAACACAGAGGAAGGAAAAATGGGCCAAAGACAGGACCTGGCCCTGGGCCACCAACCCTTCCTCACACGTTGACTGGCCCAATATTGGTGGCTGGTTTTACCATTACTAATGGAAACTATTTCCCCTGGTCAGGAGCCACTCTTAGGAGCAGCCACGTGACTGCTGGGCGGGGGAGGATATAGTGGGACTTGGCTTTGAAGAGCTTCCTGCCTTCCTACACATCACAACATTTTGAAGTAGCAGAGAGGTCCATTTTTCAAAAAGTCCATAATGCAGATTTTGTATTTCTCCACATTTTTGCTCTTTCTTTTCTTCTTTGAAGTGATTTTAGTGGTCAAACATTGCTGGGGAAAACAGCCACAGAAGTTCTACTTGAAAAAAGAAAGCCCGGATTGCAAATGCAATTCTGTGTTTTCAGTGCCTGATGGGCACCTCGCTCCCATTAGAGCGGCCCAGAGAGTTCTAGTTCGAGCAGCTTCATCTAAAGCACTAACAAAAGCCCCTGAGAGCAGGGGCGGTGACTCACACAGGACAGCTTCACTCACCAGCTCCTATCCTGCCAGGCCTCCATCAGCAGGGTGGATAGGAAATTGCCTTCAATCTTCAATCTTACTGAACACCATGGGGAGAGAGACCCAAAAGGATGTGGGGGGCACAGACAGGTCTGGACTGATGCTGTCACCAAGTTCTGGGTATCGGTAGAGGTCAGAGTATTCATCACCCCCACACCCACCCACCCACCCTTACACACAAACACACACACACAGATACTCACTCTATGGCCTGGGTTGCAGTCGTCTTGTGAGAATAATGAACTTCTTCCTGTACTCAGAAGCTTCGCTTACTGCTCCTGCCTGTCTAGATGGCCTTTGTTCTCCACCCCCCCAACCTGGCTTCCCGGCAGTCTTCACTCACAGGCACCCCAGGTAAATACAGGCAAAAGAGACCTCGAATGCACATGCATAGTGAGGCGCGTGCACAACTGCGTGCTCACCTGCAGCCCCATGTGTGACTGACAGCACGGATGGGCCTGGTTGACAAGAACCAGGCCCCCTGCTGGGTTACGACAGCAAGGGGTAGGCAAGCAAGTGGCTCAGGAAGACTGAGCCAGCAGCAATGCCTTCCTGGAGCCAGTGGAGCCCAATTTCAAAATGCAGATGTCCCGTGCCCATTTTTACCTTCTAGGGGTTGATCCCATGACATCAGGGCCTGTTTGCACAGCTGGATACGGTGGCAAGGGCAGAAACTGCTTGACGATACCTCAGCTGGCTGAGTTCTGGGAGCACTAGACTGAGGGAAAGTACCGAGTAATGACAGTAATGCTGTGTATGCTGACCCAAAAAGGTCTCCAAGATACATTTCCAAGAGGCCAGCTCCATGGCAGGGCAGGCGGAAAACTTCAGCCTGTTTCCAGGGGGAGGGGGCAGGTGAACTGCCTTGGCACTGTGTCTTCTGGTCTGGTAGGACCTGTGCTACTCTCCCAAGAGGTTGAAACAGTCTTGGTGAAGGCTTTCACATAACACTGTGAGACAGGGAACTGTCCAACGGGCTTAGGACATAGAGGCCAGATCATCTACACTGGCAGGATGGGCTCTCCCTCTGCAAGTCAGCAACACCTGCCTCCCCCAACGGGAACCGCAGAGGTCCCCATGCGGAGCCCCCACCCCCACACCTCTGCTCCTGGAAAGTTCCTCAGTGGCAAAATGAGGACATTGATCTAAATCATCTTTAAATCTGGCTTCTGGTACAAAGACCCATGATTTTCATTTAATCCAATTTCCTTCCCATAAGAAGCACAGAATGCGACGGTTCTTGGTGTCTTCTCCGCAGCACACCGAACACTCTCAAGCCCTCCACTCACAATGATTTTACACGGAAGCATCCTTTAAATATATTCAGAGCAGAGAATTTATTGAACATTGTATGGAGACAGCTCATATGAAAGTTTCTACCCCGGCAGGACGGGTCTCATCAGACCGACACAGAACAGGTGAGAACTCGCTGTGCAGGGCTCTTTCAGTATGGACACTGCAGAAATACGCCTCCTTCCCTCTGGGAAACGTAAAGTCAGCCATAAAACCATGGATTTATCACACATCAGATAACCAAAGTGCATGGAGAAGAAGTCCTTTTCTGCTTCGATTCTGTAAATGAGTTCCGCATCAGAACAGGAAATACACCTTAAATGCATAGAGGAGAGATTATGAAAACAACGGCATTCTAAAATGTCTCTTGACATACGCAGTCCCTAAAATGTTGACGTACACCGAGGTCGGAGTGAACACAGTCACGGCTGCAGAGATCTTTGAGATGAGAAAGGATGTTAGGCCGGATGGGAATGGCATGCATTGCTGAGACTGTTCTCAGATGGGGAGGGGGCGGTGACAGGAACATTAGCTTGTGTTTGTTATAGGAAGTTCCAAATGCCAGCAGTTCATATATTTTATTAAAACAAAACAAACAAAACAGAACAACAAAAGGTACGTTAGCCACAAAAATAAGCCCGTTGCATCTTGCATTTTTCTACATAAGAGCGCAGATCACCACACGTAGGCCGCTTACCAGTGATACACATGCCAAATGACTCCTACAGATTCCTTCCTCAGCACTTCATCCAGTGTGGAAAATAGAGAGAGCGCTTTAGAAACATCTGCCAGATGGGTCGTGAACAGAAGACAGTTTTGTGCACATGGTTTCAGCATCACAGACAATAAATTCTGACCTTTGACGCCATCTCAGACTCGATGGGAAGGCTTTTTTTTTTCTCTTAAATAAATGCCGCACTAAAGGGCTAGCAGCCGAATTTAGTTTACTTCTAAAAAGCAAAGAAATGGGAATGCAGGCAACCCGTCCATAAAAAAGATGGAGCCTTGTTGTGTTAAAGGGGGAAATGGCGAGTCGATGTGTGGAGCGTGCGTGCTAATTCATCATCTTTGTACGTCATGGAAGCTCTGCATTCTTGTTAGCACGGAGCCTTAATGGGATTGTGTTAAAAGATCTGATTTGTCTCCCATAGACGGTGCTTTCTGGAGGGAGGTGGAAAGTAACGCGTAATCTGTTTTATTTTGGCCAGACGTGGCTTTTGAGCATCAGGGAAACAGAACTGTGGCTGCAGCTCCACTGTGCAATGGCCCTGCCAGCTCCTGGGGCTCATCAGGATGCAGGTGGAATGCAAGCGGGAATGCAAGGCAGAGCATCCATCCTACACCCACATCCATTAGCGAGATGATTAAACCCGCATCAGCCCCTCGCTGCAATACAGCAACTGTAATAGGGCATTGTTACAGGATCAATGCTTCCCGGTTCAGAATAAACATCAGCATTTGTGCGGCGGCAGCCCCTGGTGCCCCACAGCTGTGCTTCTTCCCACTGACATCTTTTCATCAGTGTAACCCACACCGTGGCAACATTCCAAGGTGTCATAACTGCAAATATCTACGGCAAGTTGGATAATGGCTATGTTTCTGTTGCTAGTTTTCCTTCCTTCCTCTTCTGAAGAGCGAATGCACATATATTCTAATAAATTAATCCCATTAAGGAAAGAAAAAAAATCTAAGGGAATTATTACATTCATCGAAACCACCTTTCCTCCACCTTCCCCAGATCTCCTAACATAATACTCAGATGCTGGTGTGTGCTGTACCTCTAAGGTTGTTCACGTGTACCTCTGTAAGGGGATAAATGAACTGGGCTGACAACTACCAGCATGCTGCTGTGGAAATGGCTCTCACCCCCTTCCTTAGGGGTTCGGTTCCCTCAGGCACCCCAAATAGTCAATACTCCCGGTGGCTGATCCTCAAGTTCTGAGCATGCAGTGGCCATCAGGTGGCTGGGAGCCGGGCAGAGGGCAGCGATGCACCCGACGCTCCTGTAACTGTTGCCTGTCACTGGCTCATGTATTTCTCCACAGGTTCAGAGAGAGCCCAGACACGATCTCAGCTGCTTTCAAACCTCAATAGGCCACTTCTATAATGCCAATTTTAATGAACTTCTCTCATTCACATTTAATTTACAAGTTATAAGGAGCCTCCAGATAAAGCAACCTTACCTCACCGAGACACAGTGGTAATTTTCTTTCTAAAGCTCCCAGTTATTCCCCAGGCACACGGGCAGTGAGAGAAGCGGAAACAGCCACATGTATCCAAAATGTGGGGTGTGCTCGGGCCATGCCAGAGCCCTGGCTCTCCCAGCTCAGCCTGGAAACACTGGCTGGGTAAAAGTGACAGACAAGACAGTGCTGGTGAGCCGAGGTACAGGGCAGCAAATACCTCTCTCCTCCTTGAACCCTTCCTGATCCCCACATCTCCAGCAAGCAGTGTCTTAGCAAGTACATGCAGGCTGCACACACAGGCTGGGACTCATTTAGCTCTAAACCAAAAGGTTGCCCAGCTTAATGCACTGAGCTTTCGCATCCCTGTGTGTAGGACGGAGCCTGGCATGAGGTTCTATGGAGGTGCTCTGCAGCCAGCATGGCGTTGACAAAGGTTCCTATCACAGGAGGCTCCATCTGGGGAGGGGAAAGGCCTTCTCCACATCCAATCAGGCCAAGGAACCCTGAGGGAGCCGGTGGGCCATGATCTCAGCGCTGCCCTTTGCGTTCTCAGAGAGTGATGGCAGGGCCTCGCTGTGCTGCAAACGGCACCCATCCATCTACACAATTGCATTTCTGGTTGGCTCTGAAAAGCATTCCCTCTCAGTAACATCAAACACGGCCAAGTGTAATTAGGATGAGGCTGTTGCCTTCCTGTTACGCAAAGTTTTACTCATCCCTCCCGTCACAGTGGACAGGCTCCAAAGGAGACATGGCTATCACTGCAAGCAAAGGAACACTGGCCTCTTATACTGAAGAAGGTCTGGAAAGCAGAATGTCACTCCGGTATACAGGATGACCTAAGTCACAGAACCAGCTCTCTCTGTGTTCAGGTCTCTCCCTTACAAGAATTTTGCAAACCGTAACCAGTAATCTGCACTTGGGCCAGTTATTCTGAGGAACTGGAAATGCCAAATGACACTGCATTTTGGCATGGACTCTGAGTTTGAAAACACCAAGATTTGTGTACAAAAAATAAGAGGCACCATTTGGGAACTGTCAAGCTACTACACACAGCACATATGCCACACACAAACATACACGTGCACATGTAATTTGAAAACAGGGTTTGTTTTCAAATTAATCTGAAGGGCCATTTAGCTCGGAGCTCTCACTCCATTCGGTTCTGTCTGACTCAACACAGCCTGCAGGCTGGGCACTGCTATCTTCACACGGCAATGCTGTTCCTAGGATTTGTTTGAAAGCGGTTCGGTTTTCACGGCTCACTGGAGGTTCTTCATTCCCCTTGCTGTGTTATGTAGGTATAAGCCGTCTCTCTAGGCATAAACTGTCCACTGGTAAAAATCAATTTTGATTTTATCAGTATTTATTACTGCTGGTGCCAGCAGTTTAAAAGACCAGAGAGGGAAAACATGCAAAGCAGGAGGAGAAAAAAATGAAAGCCAGAGCCTCACCCCGACAGATAATAGTGCCTGCTGTCTTTAAGAGGTGCTCTGTATCATTCCAAGCTGAAATTATCAACTTAGAAATCCAATCAATAGTAATTGATGGGACTCTGCTACTGAGTCCCTCTGTGAGCACTGTGACTCGTGTTCCCAAAGCCAGGACACCCACCAGGCCTGCCCAGGCTGCTTCACGACTGCCATCCCACAGGGTCTCAGCTTTACACCGTCCAAAACATCTGACTCTGCTCTCTGGAGAGAGCCACGTTCACCTCCTTTTTGCCTTACTCAATTTTTTTTTGCTTTTTTTTCTCTGAAAATTTCAAAAAAGGCATCCCAAATGTGCACGCCTCTCTTCAGGGCTCCAAATGTAAAAGCACTCTCTCATCAGACACCTCTCTCTTCCAGCACGTTCTTTACTGATGGGTTGATCTGGAGAATTACTGTGCTGCCTAGTTTCCATCCTCTCCTCAGTCAGGCCCCACGAACTACCATGCCCAGACAGTCCTCGTCTCTCCAAGGAAAGGCTTCCAAGGGCTGCAGAAAGGACGGACATCCGTGCATCTTGAGACTTGTTGCCGCCCCTGCAGCAAGAGTGCCCACAATCTCCGGCCAGCTAAACACACTCTCACAGCACGCAAACAATCACCTTCCAAGGCCCCACCGTGGCAGCTTCCAGACCAGCTTTAATCTCGACATCTGGCTGTGCCTCTGAAGGTTTTTTTCTAGCACACATGGCCGTCCTGTAAGAACACTTGCAAACCTTGGCTCTGGTGTCACAGAGCTAGATGACCCCATCAGGTACTGGTGGAGGCCCTGAGTTACTCTGCTCTCAAAGCCAGGAAGGGCCGACCTCTCGGTTCAACCCCCCCTTTCTCAGGTACACAGAAATGCACTGGTGAGTGGGATGATCACAGCTCCTGAGCATTTCTTGAGAACACCTGGGGTCACTCAGAGAGAGGAAGCTACATACTCCGGCCACCCAGACCCCCATTTCACCATCTCAAAGTGCCAGCTGGCCAGTCATGTACAGTCCAGGCCAGTCTTCCTTTAGACGGCCTTGTTCTGTCAGACCCAAGCCTGTCACTGAAGGGCCAAGGTCACAGAAGAGAAAGGACAGCGGGCCTGAGACAGCAGGAGTTTTATTTTCTGTACTGTTAGCTGAAGCCAACTAAAAATATAATAATAAAATAGTAGTGTGTGTGTATGTGTGTGTGCGTGTGTGTACACAGATGTGTGTATAGTCAAATCATTAAACATGTGCTTCCCACTGATAGAGCTCATTTTAAAATCAACCTTCCATGGCACGCTAACGATGATTAATAATAATAATCCCACACACAGCAAATGTGACAAAATGACAAAAGAACTCTTAATTTGGGACTTTATTTTAATTTCTTCTTTTAAGATGCTACATAGAGTTGAGCAGAACTGGATTGGTCTTTTAGGGCATGAAATTAATTCACAGTCCAGACTCTTCATTACCAGCAGATGGATTTGCTGAGGCGCTCTCCTCCCCAGCTCCACGCCCTGCACCCTCGGGCAGCCTGACTCATTCATCCTGAGACGGGCAGGTCAGACCTGGCCTATGTTCTAGAAGGATGAGCCGTAGCGGAGAGTGAGGAGAGAACAATCTAGAGACTGGGTAACCCAGAGCTGACTGTCACTACAAAGAGTGTTCCTCTTCGGGACAGTTGCTACTGATCCACAACAAAACACTTCCTGGCAGCTGTCTCCTGACTCAGACTCTCCCCATCCCTTGGACCTCCAGAGACCAGGAGCCACGGTGCCACCAGCGGCAACGCCCTCACTGGTTTGGTACTCCATGGTATTCCCAGCACAGGTGAGGTGCAGGCCGCAGCACTGCCTGCACTCGGCGACAGCAGAGTGGAACACACGAGATGGAACACACTGAGTAAGCCAGATGTGCAGCACACATCTCTGGTAACAGCTCAGTGTCACTACACGAACCAACAGACTGAGTTTGGTCCCTTTAAGAGAGCAGAACACAGAGACTCGTGTCTCTCACTCATGACCTACAAGTACACAAGATGTGGCCACCATGCAAGGTGTTTTGGCTTCTGTAGCTCTGCATGCCTGAGGAGCCGATGACTTGGACAGAACAGCAGGCCTGGGGAAGCCACCTGGGTGAGACTAGGCAGCACGAGGTGGCTGTGGAGGGGACAGCACACCCCACCTCACAGGACTCCTGCTCCTACAGGCCAGCTCCAACATGTGAGAAAGAGCTTCTGCTTTAAGAGAGGTGACTAGGAACATGTGCCAAGGCCTACCCGAGTTTAATGTGACAGCTACAATAAGCCACTGTGGAAATCACGGCGTCCCTCAGTAACAGACCGTTCTTCCCCCGTCCATTTACTATACATTTTTAACTTCCTAAAAGATCATTATATTATGCTATATTTGTGTGCGCATTTGTGTGTGCATGGGGAGGGGTATTTAAAGGCAAGACCTGTGAGATGTCATCATACATTAATTTCTTTTTACGCATGGTTATGATAAATTTAGATCCCATGATGCAGTAGATCCATCAATCCAATCTGCCCTCCTTCGCATGCGGCCTCTACAAGGCAATCTTCCCTATAATGACGCCAACAATGAAGAACAAGACCACCAGAGCCAGCAGCCGAGCGCTGAGGCCATCCTCCTTGCCGGGGGCAGCCAGAGCTGCCATGGGGCTGTTGCTCTGCAGCGCCTTCCTCACCCGAAGCCCGTCTTCTTCCTAGGGGGATAAGTGCATATTTCAAAAGCAGATCATGGCTTGGCAGACATGATCCAGCCACAACGCAAAGGCACACGGAAGCCTACAGAGAAGCCGTTGCTAGGCCCCTCAGTGTTCCTCCTACCAGAGCCGCTGGATCACTCCTAACACCAAGTTGGAGTGCACCCTCAGCTTTCTGTGAACTACAAGAAAAGCTCTTGGTGGGAGCTGGGGTTGCAGCACAGGCTCTTTGGCCATGTTTTGGCCTCTTCTCTGCCTACCTCCAGATCTGACCTCTGGTCCTGTCCTGAACCTACAAGTTTGTCCAATCAACTCATCTCTGCCTGAAATTCCAGGTACTTCCCAAGACACAAACCACAGCCAACTATTCAGTGGGAACCTGCATAAGCCTGGCGAGAGACCTAGGTAGACTGCTGAATCTAATAACCCTTCGAATTTGAAACACATACTATGTGCGACCGCTGCCACAGTTGGTGAAAAGAAAACCTTCATTTGCCCAGCACAAATACCTTCTAACTAACTCATGGCTTCCTTCTCTCGCTTCCAAAGAGAGTCACCAGGCCACACCCACCACACCCCCAGGTTAGGTAAGAAAAGATGTGTATCTGATTTCTACCCCTCGCCTGAAGAATCTGTAGGTTCCTCCAGTCCCCTCCCAAGTCCCACTACTGCGCAGGGGCAGGGGGGCAGGGGCAGGGGCAGGCTACTCCATTCTGAGGTCTCGCATAGAGCTGACACTCTCCACCCTTTTCCTCAGCTTCCTTCTTATCTGCCAAGTACCAAGGGCAGTCTTCCCATGATCTGCAGCTCTCTATGGTCCCACTAAGGACATGGGCTGTAACCATCACTGTCTGATCGCTCCCTCAGCCCCACTAACAGGGAGCTCCCCAGGGCAGCCTGCTCATAGCTGAGCCTGCAAGGCCTGGCACACAGATCTCACTAAACAAGAAGCCATGTGTGGCAGGATAAAGCATACCCCGTCAAGATGGCTCTGGTATTATTTTAGAGATACTGTGCTCAGGGCAAGGCCAGCGCCACAGCACAGTGATGGATGAGCTGCAGCGTTCGATTAACTTTACAAAAAATGGGCACAGCAAAACCCAGCATTTATTTTATTGGGTTTACATTGAAGCTAACCCAACCTATAGATCACCGTAAATGGTGCAGAACTCTATTTCTGAGGAGAGTCTCACTGACAGAGAAGCTTCTGCAAAGGAAGATGCTGAGGCCACTTCTACACTGCCATCCTCCGACATCTGCCTCAGAGCCGGGATGCAGGGGAGTCGGCTTACGAGTGCGTTATGTGCATCTGCCGCCACAGCCAGCAAAGAGGGGAAACCTATTACATGCTTGGCTGGCATCATCAAGATTAAGAACAAATAGGCCTCAAAGTTTAAGCTGTAACAAAAGCTCCTATAATCAGATGTTCAGGTCTATCCACATCCAAGACAGACAGATCCACAGGGTTTGAGCCACAGTCAGTCAGAGACGGTCAACAAACAGGCCTGAGAAATGGGCCTGGAGTGGACAAGACTATGAAAACCGTGTGGGCAGCAAAGTGAGCTGCTAGGCCGAGCCTGCTCTGGCCTCCCCAATGCCTAGCCAGGTGCCCCAAGCTGCAGCCCTGGTTTCTCCTTTGTGCCTCCACCTCCCTACTGGGCCAGTACTGTGCTTTCTTCTCAGCACAAGAGCAGCCTGAGAAGCTCCCACTGCCGGGGCGCACTTAAGACTTCCTAAGACTCCTGTGCCCACATCAGAACAGGACAGGACGAGCAGGAGATGGCCTCCAAGTAAGGTCACCTGAGGGACAGGCTGCAGCAGGGCCAGACAGACCAATGGGAGCGGGGCTGGGTTTGGTTCCTCAAGTGAAAACCCATTTAGCAGGTGTGGTTCAAACACCCTTTCAGGAACCCCCTGGGGAGAGAAAGCAAGCACCACTCACCCACGAGGGCAGCAAGGGCCTTACCTTGAGTTGTCGGCCCTCCTCCCGCAGCCTCTGCACCTCCCCCTGCAACCGCCTGCACTCCTCCATCACCTTCTTCACTTCGGTGTCATCAAGGGACGACGGCAGGGACTTAGCAGCCGCCGGTGCTTCTGTCTTGGATGCACTTGTAGGTATAATTTTATTTATTTCTACATCATGCTGTTCAGAAATAAATGAAAGCCCAAGGGTCACCAACTATGTAAGAAAGGATTTTATGCAAAGCAGTTCTCAGTACACAGTACATGAGGCAGCGTTCCATCCACACGGTAAAATGTCACATTTATTTTTTAAATGCATCACTTTATCTAATATCTTGATAATCTAAAGCTACCGGGCCCTAGAAATTATGAATAAGGGCAAATAATGAAGTTGGGCTGAGGCTAACCCTTCAAGGAGGAGAAAAGGGCTGTGCACATTGCACTATCAAATTCCTGCCATGCAAAAATTAGCATACTGCAATTGTGCAAGCTCAGGAATTATCAGCTGCAAATTACCTCTGCAGGAGAGCTGAGCCTCCCAGGCCTCTGGGGGTGGGGGTGGAGGTGGGATGCGGGGGATCCAGAGAGTGGATGAGGACCAGCCAGCTCTGAGTCAGCCATGCCTCTGTCTGGGGAGGTCACATGCTCCTGTGTACCCCTGCATAAAACAGGTCATGGTACCCTCTTGGAGGATGAGCTGGCCAGTGGAAGCAGGGCTAGGAGTACTCAGAATGGTAGCCTGGGGGTCTGTGTAACAATCTGAAAATCAGGCATCTAGCTCCAACTCCCTTCACTTCCCACAGAAGGGAGAGCCCAGGCCTGAGCCCCACTCATCACAGGGCTGGGGTCAGCATCCTCATCTCCCTGCTTCTGTGTTAACTTTCCCAGAACAGGATGCTGTTCTTTCTCCACTAGAAGGATCAGGGTGACAGTAGCTGATGGCAGAGCAGAAGAAAACAGGCAGTGCTGACCAATCACAGCAGAGCACTTCCCCTTCCCAGCTCCTCCATCACTGGCAGGGGTCTGCAAACCATGCAAGGCTTTTACTTTTTAACACAATTTTAACTTCTCTGGCCGGTTTGAAGGAAGTGCACATCAGTATTTAAGATGCCACCTGTCTTCTACTGTTCCAGTGAGGGCCCAGATGAAGTCAGCACAGGGAAAGACAGGGCAGACAGGGAAGTATGGGACACAGGGTCTCACAATGGGGCAGTGGGCGGCACACAACAACCACCATGAAAACGTGGGGGTACTGCTAGTGTCTAAGAAGTGGGTGCTCAATGCTGGATATCCCACAGAGCACAGGATGCAAAAGCCACCAGCACTGAAGCCAAGAGAATCTCATCTTAGGGCCGACCTGGCACTGAAGTAGTCAGTGGGGAGCAGAAGCCGAGGGAGCGCACTGACAAGGACACTCGGGGACTTCACCACCTGTCTAAGCACCATGAGAAAGAGCAAATTATTCCATGTTGGTCTCCCCACTTTGCCAAGCAAAGGCTCCCTAGAACTCATGACCTCAGGAGCCAACAGGTTGCTCTTGGGTGGCCGTTCTCCACAAGTCTTTCCCAAGGCTGACCGTATAACGCGGTCGATCTGTTGACTTCAGCTTATTTTTTCCTTCATACGTTAGAGGAAGGAAAATAATTTGCCAGCTTGGATCTCTGTCTCACAGGCGATGGCATGCACAGAAGCACCAGCTTGCAACATTCGATTACTGGGAACTAGAGACGTACTTACTGGTTTAGCGTTTTCTGCTGGCAATTCAAACACACATCTAAGTTTTGAATCCATAAGGTCTTCCGGTTTTGCCTCCTTCCACTAAAACAATTTAAATTTAATAATCAGGGTATTATCAAGCTGCTGGAAGAATAATTCTCCTCCTATAACTGACAATTTCAGAAAAATACTCTTAATGAGAAAGCCCTGATGTATATCAAATAAAGAACTTAAGTCTGCTGAGATTTCAATATTTTTAACATGACAAGATTAAATGCACTAGCTCTCCTGAATATTTATCACGCTTTGCAAACCCTGCAGGCTCGCTGCTCCTTAGAGCCTGCCCAAGCTTGCCCATTGCTACTTCACAGACAGCACAGGCCTGGGAAGTGCCCATCCTCCCCAAAGGCAACCAAGCTCTCCTTAAGGAACTGGAATCTACATGGCAGGGCATACACTCCCTAGAGAGCTGTAGGATGAGGGTTTAGCCCACCCTGCCAACCACCAGTGGGGCACATCCACCACATAGCCATTTCACTACTGTGGCTGCATCAGAATGGCCCTGCCCAAGTGACCTCACCCACCAGTGAAGCATATGCCCCTCACTAATATCTCCTTTCAGATGTGGAGGAAGGGTTAAGAAGGACAGGTCAGTAAAGCAGCAAGGTGACAGCCAAGAAGAGAGGCACCCACCCTCACCCTCCCAACCACACAGCAGCTAGGCAATCGCTCTGTCTGGCACCAGAGCGCAGCCACCCTAACTATGGCAGAAGCAGCCAACAGGACAACACACTGACACTCACAGGACACCTGGGAGCACCGAGCACCCAGGAAGACACCAACACACACAGGTTGCTCTGTGCATATGTGTGCCCATGTGTGAGGCAGACAGGATCATGCAAGGGCCAGCTCTGGGTTCTTAATGCTGGTGACAACAGGACGCTCAAGTAGTCTCCAAGAACTGCCTACAAACTACAGGGAAGACAGACTCCATAGCACCTGCGCCAACTCATCCAACTGCACCAAGAGCAAGAGAGCCTGCAAGCAGTGGCATCACCTAAGTACAGCCACTCTTGTCCCCAAATTTGAATCTGAATTTAATGATGATGATCTGAGATTTAAGACTCTCCCTCCAAGCTGAATGACCTGAACCCTAAGGTCCTCTGCTGAAATATTCAACGGGCACTCTGAGTGCTCAGAGAGCACTGGAGGGGAGTTACCCTCTTTAGACTACCAACAACCCCAGCTCACTGTCCACTGCGCACAGCACTACGTCAGTAAAGAGCGCCTGTGCTCTATAGGGCTCCTCCCCCCTACAGGCAGCTAGCACAGACAGTACATGGAAGCAAAGGTGATCAGGTACGGCTCTGTCTGCTCCACACTGTCAGCTCAAAAGCAACACAGCTCTCCTAGCAGCTGGGCCTGCTGTGGGAGAACTGGCAGTCACCTCCATCCATTCAGCCTCCACTCAGGAGGGGAAGCCCACAGCGTCCTACAAAATGTGCTGCCCAAACACTTCAAACAGTTATAAAACCAACCCACTGACAAGTAGAAGGCCCCTTTGTCAACCTGCAGTGCCTGGCCCCTAGTTACTCAGGTGACAAGTCAGACATGGGCATATTCTCCTCAAAACCCTGTATTTTTATTCCCAATTCACAGGTGGCTAAAACCTCAAGAAGAATCAAGAAAACCTGTCCAAGACAGACCAAAGCATTAGTAGAGGCAGGGCTCCACCAGAGATCAAGACGGCCAAGCCCCCGCCCTTTCAGCTACACCACAGCGGAAGCCAGACCAAAAGCACAGCCTGCAGACATCCACCTTCCGTGCCTGTCATGTGCTCCCTTCATCACACAGATTAACACAACACAAGTCAGGAAATGAAAGGGCAGAGAAATGTCTCCAGGGTCAGTCTTATGACAAGGTCTCATTCCAGCTCAATACTTGACTTAACCTTCCCTTTCTGCCCCCAAGGTACGCACCAATGAAGGCAGCTAGTTCTGCTTTCCCAAGCCCAAAGTAAAGGCTACATGGTTGACATGGGCAAGAGACAAGCTTGACACAGAACATCCCTGCCACCCTCGCCGTCTCTGGGCTGGCCAGATCCTGAGGACCACTGCCTGCTGTGCTGCAGATGTCCACAGGCAGCACCACCTTTGGGAGAATTGACATCCTAATCTCTCTTCTTCCAGAAAAGTGAATACTATAAAATACTGTTTATTTATAAAAAAACAAAGGCATCCTAATTTTACCAAAACTAGAGGCATTGTTAAACATGTACTCGTGTGGGGGAAGAAGGGATGAAAAGGAAGGCAATTAGAGAATATGGTGAGGAGCAGGCTATGGGTATGGAGCAGGCTGTGGTGTGAAGCAGACTGTGGGTGTGGAGCAGGCTGTGGTGTGAAGCAGGCTGTGGTATGGAGCAGGCTCTGGATGTGGAGCAGGCTGTGGGTATGGAACAGGCTGGGGGTGTGAAGCAGGCTGGGGGTGTGAAGCAGGCTGTGGTATGGAGCAGGCTCTGGATGTGGAGCAGGCTGTGGGTATGGAACAGGCTGTGGGTATAAAGCAGGCTGGGGGTGTGAAGCAGGCTGTGGTACAGAGCAGGCTGTGGTGTGAAGCAGGCTGTGGTGTGAATCAGGCTGTGGTGTGGATAAGGCTGTGGTGTGAAGCAGACTGTAGTGTGAAGCAGGCTATGGATGTAGAGCAGGCTGTGGTGTGAAGCAGGCTGTGGGTGTGGAGCAGGCTCTGGGTGTGGAGCAGGCTGTGGATATGGAGCAGGCTGTGGTGTGGAGCAGGCTGTGGGTGTGGAGCAGGCTGTGGGTGTGGATAAGGCTGTGGTGTGAAGCAGGCTGTTGGTATGGAACAGGCTGTGGTATGGAGCAGGCTGTGGTGTGAAGCAGGCTGTTGGTGTGGAGCAGGCTGTGGGTGTGGATAAGGCTGTGGTGTGGAGCAGGCTGTGGGTGTGGATAAGGCTGTGGTGTGAAGCAGGCTGTGGGTGTGGATAAGGCTGTGGTGTGAAGCAGGCTGTTGGTATGGAACAGGCTGTGGTATGGAGCAGGCTGTGGTGTGGAGCAGGCTGTGGGTGTGAAGCAGGCTGTGGTGTGGAGCAGGCTGTGGGTATGGAGCAAACTGGGTCTGGAGCAGGCCTTGGTGTGAAGCAGGCTGTGGGTGTGGAGCAGGCTATGGGTGTGAAGCAGGCTGTGGTGTGAAGCAGGCTCCGGGTGTGAAGCAGGTTGCGGGTATGGAGCAGACTGTGGTATGGAGCAGGCTGTGGTGTGGAGCAGGCTGTGGTATGGAGCAGGCTGTGGTGTGAAGCAGGCTGTTGGTGTGGAGCAGGCTGTGGGTGTGGATAAGGCTGTGGTGTGGAGCAGGCTGTGGTGTGGAGCAGGCTGTGGGTGTGGATAAGGCTGTGGTGTGAAGCAGGCTGTGGGTGTGGATAAGGCTGTGGTGTGAAGCAGGCTGTTGGTATGGAACAGGCTGTGGTATGGAGCAGGCTGTGGTGTGGAGCAGGCTGTGGGTGTGAAGCAGGCTGTGGTGTGGAGCAGGCTGTGGTGTGGAGCAGGCTGTGGGTATGGAGCAAACTGGGTCTGGAGCAGGCCTTGGTGTGAAGCAGGCTGTGGGTGTGGAGCAGGCTATGGAATAGAGCAGGCTGTGGTGTGGAACAGGCTGTAGGTGTGGAGCAGGCTGTGGTGTGAAGCAGGCTGTGGGTGTGGAGCAGGCTATGGAATAGAGCAGGCTGTGGTGTGAAGCAGGCTGTGGGTGTGGAGCAGGCTATGGGTGTGAAGCAGGCTGTGGTGTGAAGCAGGCTCCGGGTGTGAAGCAGGCTGCGGGTATGGAGCAGACTGTGGTATGGAGCAGGCTATGGTGTGGAGCAGGCTGTGGTATGGAGCAGGCTGTGGTGTGAAGCAGGCTGTTGGTGTGGAGCAGGCTGTGGGTGTGAATCAGGCTGTGATGTGGAGCATGCTGTAGTGTGGAGCAGGCTGTGGGTATGGAGCAGGCTGTGATGTGAGCAGGCTGTGGTGTGAAGCAGGCTATGGACTAGAGCAGGCTGTGAGTGTGAAGCAGGCTGTGCGTGTGGAGCAGGCTGTGGTGTGAAGCAGGCTGTGGTGTGAATTAGGCTGTAGATATGGAACAGGCTGTGATGTGAATCAGGCTGTGGTATGGAGCAGGCTGTAGGTATGGAGCTGGCTGTGTTGTGGAGCAGGCTGTGGTTGTGAAGCAAGCTGTGGTGTGAATTAGGCTGTAGGTATGAAGCAAGCTGTGGTGTGAAGCAGGTTGTGGTGTGAAGCAGGCTGTGGGTGTGGAACAGGTTGTGGTGTGAAGCAGGCTGTTGGTATGGAACAGGTTGTGGTGTGAAGCAGGCTGTTGGTATGGAACAGGTTGTGGTGTGAAGCAGGCTGTTGGTGTGGAGCAGGCTGTGGGTGTGAAGCAGGCTGTGGTGTGGATCAGGCTGTAGTGTGAAGCAGGCTGTGGTTGTAGCTCAGAGACAGAGCAACTGCTTAGTGAGCTCAAGATCAGAGTTCAGTCCTCAGCAAAGACCCCGAAGAACTGTGTGGACCAGAAAACAAGCAAAAAGAGCATGCAATACAGATGAATGTCAGTGGGAAGGAGGCTAAACGTTTAGTATTCAACACAAGCACATCCTTCTGGGTTTGAGGGGCTGGAGACAGGTCAGAAACATCCTAGCAACGGGGAAGCACTCCCCTGCAGTGCAGGAGAGAGGGAGGAAGGGTCCATGGGAGCAGAGAATTGCAGCAAGTTCAGTTCATCAAGTCAGAAAAGAACAGCCATGGAAATGTTAAAGCTACTCGTCAAAGTTGGGGAAGCCATCCAGGGAGCAGAGTGCACACCTCCCTAGCAGCACACTCCCCGTCAAGAGTGGAAAGGCATGCACCCGCCACGCCTGCCTAGCAGACTGCAGAAGAGAAGAAGCTTTCGTACTTACTACCGCCTCCATATCAGAAGTGTCGGGTGGCGCGAACATAGACTGAACCATAAACTTGTGTTTACTTTTCTCATTGGGATCATAGTCGAAAGGCTGTAACATCACTGAGAAAGAAAATATTTCATTAGGAGAGTCAGAACGTGGTCACCCGAGTCATTTGTCACCCTAATACAATGCGGAGTAGAGCTACTTTCCAGTTCTCCCATCTGGATCCTGAGGAAGGACATGAGCCAGCAGGATGGACAGCCTTCCCCCAATTCTGCAGGTCAGCAGCTAAGGCCAGAGAAGTTGGGGGCTGCCAACAGCCTGACAGCAGGTCCCAGCTGAACTCGGGCTCTGCTAGGACTTGGGTACCAGAACCCTGCTAACCGTGCCCAGGCATTCCCACAAAGCCACCCTACCCTCACTGAGCCCTTACTGAAGACATGAAATGGGAGAAACACCAAAGGCCTATTTTTCCTAGGAAAACATTGCCAAATGATCTTCTTGAGAAGGAAAACAGAATAACTCAGAACCATTCGGGATGGCTTTCGCTGCTCTACACCCCATTTCCCACACAGCTCATCAAGGTAAGGCTTGAAATATGATTTTGCCAATAGAATTCTGGAGACGGCTTACAAGCTGGATTTCCCACAGCAGGAAAAAACAATTCTGGCTCCTGCTCCATCCCGCAGCCAGAACTGAGAGAAAACTCACCAAAGGACCCTGTTGACCAGACGCTCTGCTATACAGAGTCTTCTATTCTAATTCGCTTCCTTGGCGCTATTTCCCAGATGACCTGGACCAAACCTTGTTACAAGAGGGCTGACCTGCAATATGCTCTTTGCTGTACAGCTTTACTAAGCCTCACGCCGAGAGACCTTCCCTGAAACCCAAGTTCACAGAAGCGGGGGATGCTGCAGGATCAGTGTGGGCCTAGCCCCTCCATGGTATCGTCGGCAACTGGACTTCTGCTCTTCAGCACCATCCACCTCAGTCTGGAAGACGGAAGGGCTGGGGGGGGGCAGTATTATTCGGTTGTGTGTTCTCAGAGGGGAAAACTAGAAACAGCACCTAGCTTGCCTCAGTCCACAAAGGCACACACTCAAACCCAACGAGCGCCAGTCCTGTCCTCCCAGGTGGTCCCGAAAGGCGTCCACCTTCTAGATGAGAAGTCAAAGGCTGTGAGTGCCGCGCTGACAAGAAAGCCAGGGTGCCACCCTAGCCACAGTCCCACACTATGGTTCCTCTCTGATCCCCTGCAGATGATGGCCCACACCTTTAATCCTAGTACTCGGAGGCAGAGGCAGGTGGATCTCAATTTGAGGCCAGCCTGGTCTACATAGCATGCGCAAAGCCTGGGTTAACCCCGGCACTGAAAACAATGAAAACGAAGGAGGTACTACCTGTCTGCCACAGAAGCAGGCTACAGACTCTATTAACTTCCTGTCTGGTGACACAGCCGCCAACACAGCACCACAACACGCTGAATGAAGCAGACATGAGAACTGAGTCTATTAAGATGTCAAATCTGCAGAAGCTGTCAACAATGTGAGCCTTCTAATTTCTGGAGAAAAGCTACTTTCATAAAAAATATTACCACAAACATATAATTGATGGATTGTAATTTTTAAAGAAATTAGTCATTTTTAAATTTATAATATAATAAATACCACTATATCTTACAAAGACTCAGACTCCCGGGATCTTCAACTGTCAGGAGCACAGAAGTTCAAAGATTGCACAGAGGGAGTACAGCCACCACCTATAGTGCCTTCCTGGTCCTGCTGACACAATCTAAGAGGAAAGAGCTGGCTGAGGCCATGCTGGAGCCTAAAGCCAGCATGGCAGATGGAGGGTCCCAAGTCCCTGTGCTCCTCTGACCAAGCACATACTTCAAGGCCCACTGCAGCTTTGCCTACAGCCATCACCAGCCCTACCCCTGGCCTACATCATCCTACCTACTCAGCCCCCACAGTGGAGAGCTGAAAGAACCACCTAATGGCAGGACACAGAACAGGGCTAGTGGTAGCCAATCACACTTCTGTACACACACACGCACACACACACACACGTACAGGTATGTTCAGGGCCATGATGGGACTGACCAGAGAACCTCAGCTAGGAAGGGGAACCAGGACCTCTGGAGGGGTCGTCTGAGAAGCGTTAGGCATAAGGTGGGGACTTGCCCCTCCTCCACTGCAGAGAAGCAGCTGCCTGCCTCCCACTGGCTGTCCTTTGTGTAGGACACTCTACAGACCTTTGGCACACCTCAGGACCCACACCCTGCTTCACACTGCCCCTCACGTACACCACCAAGTTCCTGTCCCTCAGCTGCCACCTTCTCATGCCAAATCCAGTTTCCGCTGAAGCTTTATGAGAATATGACGGAATAAATGCTGGTCAGTGCTAGTTCATTGCAAATTGTGGCACAAATTATGTACTTTTTCCATGACAGGCTATAAAAGAGCTTCCCATTAACTTAATTTATTTCATTTAAATACCAGAGACACTGATGATAAAACCCTAAGTGAATCGTCCCTTCTTTCAGAACGCATCTGCTGACAGAACGTTAAAGAGGCCTGTTACCAAGAGATGACCTGGGCTCGGTCACCCTCACCCACACAGTGCTCAGGACACAGAGCCTGCTGCATTAGACACAAAAGTAGGACCCTTATGAAGAACCTTCAGGGTCATGATCGATCAGGCCAGACTTCCTTCAAAAGAGAAGAAAACAGGCAGCTTAAGACACACACTGGCTTGGAGAATGACGACCCGATTAAATGCAGCATAAAAGCTGCTTCCAGGGCACTGGGCAACCACAGACCACTTTCATCTGCACCACAGTGGGAGGGGGCGAATAAAGATTCTAAAGAGGAATGCTGCTCTGCCCCAATTCTCACCTAGAAACGTCTCCACGTTCAACAAGCCACAACCCCAGCTGTGACCCCCACCCACTCACTCACTCACATCCTCCCAACCAGAGGCTCTGCCAACTTTCTCCCTGTTTCTTTCCCACCAGACTAGTCCATGCATCCCTTCTAGACCCAAGGAGGACACAAGTCCCCTACAACACTCAGATCATAACTTCCTGTAACAGCAGCTACTACCCAAGCAGAAGACAGCCAGCTCATTTCCTCATACCCTCTGGGCCTCCTCCTTCACACCGCGTCTTTCCAGACCGGCAGACCTGCTTCTGGACCAGCAGGCATGCAGTCCTACACCTTGAGACATTCCCCACCAACCCCCAAACCTCCCCTCATTCCTACGGTGCCCCTCACACACTCAGACCCTATCACGCCGCCTAAAGAAAGATCAGCCAACTCCAGCATGTACCAGAATTGCAAAGGAGCCAATTAAAGAGAATCTGCTGGAGGGGTCCCACTGAGAACCTGTACCTGGAGAACTGGGCTGTACTCTTTTCTGAAAGTCAAAGGCATGGCTGGAAGGTGCCATGCCTGTTCCTGCCAAGGGAAGCTCACTCGCTGCCGCCACTTTCTACAGACCCCATGTGCACCCTCTTGCCAACTTGCCTCCTCTAGTTCAACTGAATTGACAACTGGGTGTTTATGGAACTTACTCGGATGTTAGGACACCCCACTGGCTGGTGGTGTGGACCCTCTTCCCCTCCTAACTTCAAAGCACCCTACATCACACTCCCTTTAGAAATGATCAAGGGAGCTCAGTGGTGGTGGCACAGGCCTTTAATCCCAGTAATTGGGAGGCAGAGTAACTGTGAGTTCGAGGCCAACCTGGTCTACAGAGAGAGTCCCAAGACAGTCAAGGCTACGCAGAGAAACCCTGTCTTGAAAAAAACCAAAACAACAACAATAATTAATGGTAATAATAAATTAAAAAAATAGAAATGTTCAAGGGAAGACATTTCCCTGCCCTCCCCAAGGGGCTCCCCTTTCCTTTCCTGCATCTCTTCTTGCCACTCTCCCTCCTCCCACAGTCCACACATCAGAAGACTACGATCCACAGACCAAACTGCACTTATGAATGATGGCACCGCTGCTCCTTTTTTAAACAACCAAAACCCAGCGTGAGCTTCTTATCGGCTAAAGGGGATCAGCAAGACTGTAAATGATGAACCACTCACCCGAAACAAAGGGATGGACACTGCAGCTGACCCTCACCCTCACCCTGAGTAAGTTCGTTATTTCATTCAGGGGTCTCACAATGCTGACCCCGAGACTACTTTCCTGGGCCTCAGGTCTAGCAGGTGAATAATTAACGCCACCTGGTTGTGAGAGTACTGCCGCTCCAACTCTGCGTGCTCTGTGGGCCTCTCAGCTCAGGTAGCGAGCACCTGGCAGCCTGCTCCACTTGGCTGTGCAGAAGCCACAGGGCACACACTTCACCCTTCCTTCAGGATCAATAGAAAGGAGGCATGCAACAGGCTGTTTGGGCCAAACGCCAAGGTTCTTTCAGTCCTCGTTATGAAGGCTTTCTCAACTGACTTCCTGTGCTGTAAATAACAGCAGGGCTCAGCCTGGCCTCTCTTTGGGCTTCCCAGTATAACTGCGCACCCCATCACCTCCATCTCCTCCTCAGTAAGCCTTGTGAGCAAAGCCTCTGAAGACTGACCATCTGAAACAGAGACCAGTGTGTCCTACGCACAGGGGATGGACTTCCTATACCTGGCAACTTCTATTTCACCTGCTCTGAGTGCCCATGACCAGTCTGCCAAGTACTCTTGCTACTTTCTCTCCCAAGGCTGATCTCAAGCCTTCTCCCTGTGTTCTGCAGTGAGCTGGAGACCAGAATGGAATAGTGAGATTAGAAAGAGCAGGATGGGACTTCCAGCCAAAGGACCAGTCTGGGGAGCACTTACCACTTCACTCCTGAATCACCTTATAGAAGCAAAAGGTACCTTCCAGCTAAGTATCCCCTACCCAGTGTTCTGGGTCCTGCCCTTTGATCATATTCATTTAGCATGGGGACAGTCTTCCTAAGAAACCTGCATCCTAAGGCAAGCTTCAAAAGGCTTTAAGCACAATTAAGCTGAATTCTTGTTGGTAAAATATTTTAAGCCATAATCTAATCTGGTGAGAAGATTAGGGATTTATCTTAAGCAGCAGTATAGCCAGTTCTTATCTCAGAGTAGTGAAGACTTCTAGTTAAAAGTCTGCACTTATCAGAGCCTTCCAAAGCAATGATCGGCTCCCTGTGTTAAAGCCCCAAGGCAGTCTCTCTATGCACTCTGGAAGATGCACGGCAGGCTTCTTTGTCAGCAGGCTGGGAGCACTTTTACCCTGAGGTTCAGCACCTGAATGCTGCAGCCCACAGTTGGCTAGTCCAATGCCAGTAAACAGCAACATCCACCCAAGCCAGTACCATCCTAAACGGATTAATAATCAATTCCAATATTGCCCAATTACATTAATTGAGCAACATCTTCATCCCAGAAGATGCTGATATTCGTTCTGTTACTGGAAGAACTTTATGGTTTAAATGTGATTTAAAAAAAAGAGTCCTGAAGGGGCTGTCAATAGAGATTCAGATACTGGGAGACCCATGTTTGGCTTTCATCCATCTCCAGCCCCAAGGCACACAGAGTAAAGGGAATCTGGACCTAAGTGCTGGGGTCTTTAATGACTCCATCCACACCCATAGACACTCATCGTGTGTAATGTGCTTGGCACAGGGGCAGGCAATGGGAATAACTGCCCTGCAAAGGAAAGCACTCCCCACTTCGTGGGATGAGAATTCAGAGGTTGCACAAATACTAAACTTAATGTCATATTACAGGAAGCCTAAGTATTTTTGATGGGCCCATAATTCTACCACTTCACCTGCTGTACGTGCTGCAAGCATGGTTTGGAATATTAATGGAAAGGCCCCTCATTATTAAACTGCAGCATTAAAAACAAGATCTGCCACCACTAACAGTCTTCCACAAAGACATCTTCAGAATTTACATGCATTAAAAATATTTCCCTACCATACAATTTGAAAGAGACTTAGCTCTGTGAAGCGAGAGCAGGGCTGGCTACTCCCACCTGCTTCAGACGGACCATGAGGGCAAAGGTCCTAGCTTCCCTATGACGGAAGTCTCTGGAATCACCTTCCCTCCTACAAGCTCATCTCCACAGGGTCTGGGCTGCCAACGTGCAGAGCCACGTGTACAAGCCCAGCTCAGAAGGCCAGTGCTCATCAGAGGCACATGCCCACTCTGGCACTCTGGGAGTGACCGCTAGCTATGCTGCGGATTGCTGCAAGCAGACTATTGAGCTATACAGATGTAAAGACAAAGGAAGGCCCGGAGTACCTCTATGGGAATGTCCACATGTCACACTTCACTGACACAAAACCTTAGGCTGTGCCTCTGCCCAACTGTGATGAGGCTGCCTAGGTTAATGAAAGAAACCTTACAGACGCAGATTCACTGTGTTATTAAAAAAAACAGCATGGCAGGTCAGAGCCTGAGCTTTTGAAGCATGAGGTAAGGTACCTTGAACGTCAGGGTCACTGGAAAGGCAGGCAGAGCACCAGAGTGTGGCTGAGGATCACTGCCTGTGCCTGTCACAGCCAAGATGCAAGATACAAAAGCCTTTCAGACCCTGGCCCTATCATGACCACCCCCATCCCCTCCAACTCTCTCACTCCATGTGCCCCTCCTCCCTCCGTCCCTCCCCTGTCTTTACAGGGATGATTTATAGCCTGCTCTAATAGCCTCCCAAGGGTCTTCAGAAAAGGAAGGATGCACTGGTCCTGTCCTTCCTAGGTATCCTGTGACATTCTGGGTGCTAAACACAACCATGCTGATATGAAGTTCATTTGACGGTCACCATTTTGTAAATTATATGCAAAAATTCACTCATAAATGTATGTTTGATAAGAATTCAGGAGGCAGCCGGGCGGTGGTGGCACACGCCTTTAATCCCAGCACTCGGGAAGCAGAGGCAGGCGGATCTCTGGGAGTTCGAGGCCAGCCTGGTCTACAAGAGCTAGTTCCAGGACAGGAACCAAAAAAGCTACGGAGAAACCCTGTCTCAAAAATCAAAAAAAAAAAAAAGAATTCAGGAGGCCACACATTTATAAAAAGGCACAGACCTTTGCTTCATGAAGGCAATGCAAACAGTATACAATCTGTCCCCACCCAGGCCGGCTGCCTTTGTGCATTTACACTGGGAACACTAGAATGTGCACAGGTGACCATGCTGGCCAATGTCAGTCATAGGCTCAAGGACAAACCATGTGAAGCAGCAGGTGGGTGTGAGCACCCCGAGGACAGTCATCTGCCTGTGAACGAGCCTTCTCCAAGGACTCTGACTCACCATGTTGTCACCCCAGGAGCTGCGCCCCTCGAGGAACCAGGTCTAGACAAAAACAGTGCTTCCCAAGCCAAGATGTGCACGTGTACAGTGTGACATCTGCGCACCTAGAACCGAAGGCTGCACAGAGTGTACGGCTTTCCTGGCCTTCTCAGGCCACCAACAGACAGACACCCAGTGTCTCCACAGAATCTTCTCTCGTGTGCCACCCTATCTCACCAAGAGGAAGCTGCAAACTTCTCTTTATTCCCCGACCCCTGTGATGGATTACATTTCAGATTCATCCTCAGGCAGCCACCCCTAACCTGGGGAGGCTGCAGCACAGTAGCATAGAAAGAACATCTGCCTCTAGCCCGAGCTCTGTCTGTCATGTGACAGGGAAGGATCACATTCATGCTGGTTCCTTACTTTCTGATCTGCAGAGAAAGCCACAGCAACAAAAGCAGCCTTCCCCGAAGAGCCTGATCACTCTCAGAACATTCCCGAGACTGGTAAAAGACACACACGTATGCATGTGCACGCACACCACACAATCACCTGTAACATCAGGAGGCACACCCACACTGCATAGTTATATGCTGAGATTATTTTACTCAGAAAGCCAGGTTGCTATTTTCCTATGAAAATTGGAGATTTTCATCTGCTGATAAACTCAAATTTTCTAAAATGTGTTATGGATAAGGAAATTGAGGGTTGGGGGCTAAAAAAGGAATGGGGTTTACATAGTTCAACTACACAAGACCCTCTGGCACCACACAAAACAGGAACAGGACAGAAGAATCCAGCTGCACTAATCTCAGCAAACACTTAAGACACATGGAGGAAGCAGAAATCCACCCCCTGACCACTCCTTTCTTCCAGCACGCCAGCCACAGAGCCCTGGCACTGTCCCACACCAGTCTAATGACTCGAGATGGACACAGAACGGCAGTGACAAAGCAGCAGGCACAGTGTGTGCCGGGTGTGTGTGAGGTCCAGCAGGGGAGGCCTTCCGTCGGTGTTCCGTCAGTGCTAGCTACCAGTTAACTGCTCCCAACTGAAAATCTGACTCAGGAGTCCAGATCAGACCTTGCACACTCAGAGAAGAGCACGCAGGGGGAGCTGGGGCAGGTGCACCATAATGAGAGACACCAACGGGGGCGAGGAATCAGAGCCTGAGATAATGAAACACCTTGTATCTTTCCAAAGAGGTGAATCATTTTCTTTTAGGTGTCAAATGAATAGCCAAATGTATCACAATCAAAATCTATCACGGAAAAACCCAGACAGGCACTTACTTCAAATGAGAGGTGGCCTTAACGATGCTGAAGCTAGGGACACTGAGTCACTGGTGTATAAAGGACACACACTCCCCCACAGCTTCTCTGAGCATTACGAGTCCTAATGAGCTGCAAGTTCACCAGTTTCTAAACACATTTAAGCTCTAGCACATCACTCAGACCTCCTTAACTCTGAAAACCAGTTTTCAGCTTGGGCACTTTATCAGCCTCTTTGCAGAAGCTAGGCTCTGGGAAATGAACCCTGATAGAGCCTATGCTCCCATCTCCTCAGCCCCACCTTTGCTTTCAGTAGGCAGAGTGCACCTCCAGTAGCTGGGTGACATGGGCACCGTCAGAAGTCCTTTCAGGAAGATAACTACCCAGTGGTCTCCCACAAAGTAAGACTGAGTTTACCTGTCTCTTTCTACCTATCGTCAAAGTGCAGACTGAACTCCAAAGCACAGAGGCACCAGCTCTGAGGTCAAGGCTAAAGCCACGGCTTTACTTTTGCTCCAGCTACTAAGGTGCAGAGGCTGCAGGCATTAAAACAGAGAGACATGGATTATGGAAAGCCAGAGGTGGGAGAACTAAGCTTTTACCCTGGGGGAGCAATGGGAGAGGTGAAGAGAAGTCCGCAGCCCCCTGCACAACCCTGAACATACCCACTCTGACGAAGGCCTAGGCTTGGGCCCTTTGGAACCCACCCATGACCTCCAGACCCAGAACTTACCAGACACATTGAGAGAGGCCCCGGCATCAATGACCCCACTGTTAGGCCGCACGCAGTACCTGCGCGGCGCTGTGGTCTTCACTTTAAAACACACATTTCTGTCTGTTGGGTTGCCAAGTTTCAGGTTGGTGGTGACGACATCAGTGAAGGGACCTAAGTGGAGAGAGAGAGACAAGAGGTTATGGTCCTGTGAGGAAAGTGCAGGGTACAGAATGGTTTGGCAGCAGTGATGAGAGCAAGGGTATGCGAGGAGCCATTGCTGCTGTGTTACAGAAAGGAACACAGCTCAGAAGACAGGAGGCCTGTATGAATGACAGGCTCTAGGACCAGATGGTCCAAACCCAACGACAGTTACTTGTGCTCAATGTGCGCTTCCACAGAAGCCCAAAGAAATCTGGCAGAAACTATATGACGGCCCAGGCATGGGTCCCCAGTGTACCAGGTGGCAGGTGGCAAGTGACCTCTGGAGGGTAGGGCTCTGTAAAGAGGAAACTCCCAACAGGGTAACTGCAAAGACAGCTGGCCTCGTTCCGAGCCCTGCTAGCAGCTCTACGCACCAGGCTCCTGAGAAGCCTGGAGTGGAGTTCTGTGGCCCTGGGCTACTGTTTATTACTATTACTTATTCATTTCCTCCTTTATTAGATTTTTTAATTAAAGAAGTAAAACATGCTTCTTAAAACAAACCAAACAATGAAAGATGTATGCAGAGAAGTTAATAAGCTTCATCTGTGCCTGTGGTAACTAATATCAACCATGTGGGAGCTCATACCACCGTCTAGACTTAGTAGCAATGTACATGGTGCGGTCCGCACAACTGCTTCTCACTGGCTAATCAGTGGGCACGTGATCACTAGGCTTACGGGGGTGGGGGGTGTCAGATCAGGAGAGGTGAACTGCAAGACCTCTTGTCATGTGCACATGCACGTCTGTGTTGATGCCTGTGTGTTGCTATGGAGCAAATCCAGGGACCTGTACATGTCCAGCCCCTGAATTATATCCTCAGCCCTCCATCATTTCAAGTTCACCTATTTTCAACACAAGTGCTACATCTTTGTTTCCTATAGGCAGGCTTTTCGGTTCCACCTTCATGTTTATATGGGAGCAGAGGAGGGAAGTGTGTTTCCGTGGTTACAAAGAATATCTACTAGCTCACCTGTCATGTCAGGAGACCCAACAGACTCTCAAAGGTATGCTCCCCCATGCTTCCTCTGCTGCTGAGGGTAGGATCATCCTTTGTCCATCTCCGCTCCTCGCACCGTGTCTGGACAAAGTAAAGCTCTCAAGACACATGCACCAAGAGGAAAACTACTCACAGATTATTTCCAGAAAAATAACTGCCTTAGGCTGGCTTCCTCTGAGGTACTCCAAGTATGAAAGAACAACTAAATACAAGCTTAGCTTAAACACAAATGGTGGACGGAGAGGGAGAGGCTCGAGTCCAAAACCAAGCATACTGCAGCAGTGCACCTACAAGGGAGCACTGATCGTCCATGTGGGACAGATGTGCACATTGGGGACACTCTGAACATCGGACACTTTTCACATTTGCTGATGCACATTCTGAAATCCCAGATACCTGCTGAATCTCATTGTGCAAAACACACCCTCCCTATCAGCCTCCTGACATGGCTCCTCAGCTCAACTCCCTTCACATGTGGTCACCAGCCACAGTCATCCAACTTCAGGTCCCTCAACCATATAGTAACTGCGGGCTGGAAGCCGAGCGCCATCTCAATACAGGGACCCAGGTAGGTGCCCTTGGCTGTAGCACCTGCTGTCCCATCAGTCCCTCCTCCACTGACCCTGCTCTCCATAGCATGGGGACCACGGGGATGCATGCCTATGCTGCAGCAATGCAGCAAGACGACTGTGCCACCCTCTTCTCATTTCACAGGCAACATCTTTATATCCAAAGGCCTGAAGAGGATGTCTCCCTCTACCTACCTTTCAGGAGGCCCTGCTCTGGCTCTAGGAACCAGGCTGAAAGCCAGGAGGGGGAACTAACCACCTCGCTACCCAGCTAGGAAAGCATGGGAGGCAGCTAACCTGTGCCCAAAAGGTTGACAGCCACAGGGAGTCACAGCTGGGTGCTGACAAGACACCACCCTTGCAGCCAGTTCTTGGCCTCTAGGGAGAAATGAGACACTTAGTGCTGAGAACGTCCAGGGGCTTACGGGAATTCTACCTTACTCCACCTCTGTTACACGCTGGCTGACTCATGGAAAGATGGGAAGGTTGATCCCCCTTTACTTAAGGTGGGAATCACTGCAAGTAAGCAAAGTCTATAAAAAGGAGAGCTAAAAACAGCTTTGGTTTTCTAGAGCCAAAGAAAGTGGTAAGCCTTAGAAGCCTGCATGGGTACAACTTGCCAGGCATGAACTTCACAAAACACACCAACACTGCTCTCCAAGTGCAGGTGTTCAGACAGCCAGGGTCCTGGGGGACAAAGTCACCCCTGAAAGGGCCCGTTTCCAACACCAATAGGCCTACAGGAAAAGGGCCAGACATAGTGGGTATTTGGGAGGACAGAGGCAGGATCAGAAGTTGAAGGTTATCACCTTTTGGTACATGGCAGGTTCTAAGCCAATCTGGGATGAGTCCTGTCTCAAAAACAAAAAAAGGCAGACATACAGAGTGGTCATCTGAGCATAACCCAGTCACTTCCAAAGAGTGGGCTGCAAAACTTTCTGAAGAGCTCTGCCACAAGAGCACCCCAAACACAGGCAGATCAGACACGTAACAAACCCTAACACACACAGAGACCTCAAGGAGAACAAAATACTTAAGATGATTGCCCCAGCTCCTACTGTCTTCCCCCTCTGCTCCCATAAAGCTGGGCCGAGGAGCCCAGGTGCAGAACTCATCGACCTCTTCTAGGACTCTATCCACGAGCCATGTCCCAGTGAGCAGCACGCTGTAGCGAGCTCTCTGGGCCCGCCTATTATGTGGCAATCTAAATGGTGTTTCAATTTACACGAATCACATAAAAGACGGTCTAAATTATTAAAAGACAAGCAATATTGGTAACAGTGAGTGGGATAAAACAAGCAGTATTTCTCCCTCAACACCCTGCCTTGGGTCTGGGCGTTAATTTGTAGCACTCTAGAGGGAGCCATGCTGGAGACAGATGCAGCGCAGACATCACTGCACTGCTAGAGCAGCAAAGTCTCATGGGTAAAAACCAAGGCATTCTGTAAAAAAAAACAGGCCAATCCTCCTCACCCCACTCTGGGCAATTTACTCCAAGAATTTTATTGAAAATAAATTCGATTTAAGTAATTACAGGAGATAAACCATGTTAGTGTTCTCCTTTCTCCTGTACTAATGAATTAGAACACACAAAAACCTCAATAAAAATGACGTGAAGGCTTGTGAGCGTCACTCAGATTTTCCTAGTCACTTCCATTTCATCAAACTGCCATTCCCATTAAAGCATTATGTAAAAAATGGGATTTACTCCACAAACATGCATAGTTATTAAGAATGAATTTAAACATTGCTTATAAAATACAAAGCCAATTTTACAAACAAAACCTTCAAAAGTTAAGGTTTTTCTTTTCCTTTTAAGAGATGAAAAAATAATGTGTCTCTAGGGCTGAACACACCGCCTCCTTTAATTACTTTCTTCCGGGTCACCCATCCCTTGGTCCAGATGTCTGTGTGAGATTAGGAATGACACATCTCCAGCATGAATGAGCAGAGAAGCAACCCCAGCCTGAAGTAAATTCCCGAAGTGCTTTGACATTTTTCCTTCTATGTCACAGGTGGAATGGGTTCTTCCTTCCCGTTACAGCTGTGTGCACCTGCAAGCATTTATTAAGGTTGATGAAGATGCTCATGAGACAGCATTAACTAACAGAATATGAACTCCTCCACTGGTTCTTGGAGGGACTAGATCCAGCAAAGTACAACATAAACCACCCCGCACCCTCCCGAGGCCCTGCAGCTTGCCTTGCTGTCTTTGAAGTTACTTAAGAATGAAAGGTCTGGATTCCATTTGTTTGAAAAAGCAAAGAACACAGACACAAAAGAAATACGTGTGTTCACAAAAGTAAACAGTGAGGAGGGGGGTCCTTCTGTTGCAGGTCACAGGATACAAGCTCAGACTTACAGTCCTATCTTCAAGTTCAAGGGAGAAGGTAAGTCACAGTTCCAGGTACTGAGATCTCCCCAGAGACAGCGAGATTCAAGTCAGGTAGCGGAGGTTCACATGTGCAATCCCAGAGGCTGAGGCAGAAGGACGATGAGCTCAAGCCAGCCCGAGCTACAGGACGGGATGCACAAAAAGAAAATTCCAGGCTAGAATGAGGTGAAGTCCTGTTTCAGAAAAAAACAGGACAAGACAAGTAAGCTGGACAATCGGGAAATGTCCAGGGAAGAGCTAAGCGCTCCCCCAACCTTTGCAAGGTCTGAGCACTTTGCAGTGCCCAGTTCCCAGAGAGCATCACTGACACAGAACTCCTCCTGTCTGACCCAAACTCCAACTTCACAACACAGCAGCTGAAGAGTTCTTATCTGGCACCTGTAAAGGCCACAGTGAAAAGTTCAGGAACTCGGGGCCCAGCCTGGGTCTTTCTCATCTGCAGATTTAAGCATGTCTCAGGATTCTGTCTGCTAAGTGGCAAGATTGTGTGTTGAAGAGGCAAAGAAGGCATTTTATTTTTAACCCACAATTCACTTGTACTAGAAAATAAAGATTAACAATGTCTAAAACAGCCAGGTATAATGGCTCACATCTTTAGTCCCAGCACTCGGGAGGCAGAGGCAGGAGAATCTCTTTGAGTAAGTTCAATCAAGGCCATCCTGGTCTACAGAGTTAAGTTCCAGGCCAGCCAACACTATATAGTGAGATCCTGTTTCTCAATGAATGAAATAAGTAGATACTAAATAAGAGTCCTAGAAGGTAACACCTGGGACTTGGGAGACTTTTCAGGGAAATGAGTGTGGTGGAATCCATGGAAGAAAGAAGTGCTAAGCTGGGTTCATTAACATGTCAAACCTGTGGGCTGGGCTGAGGTTCTGCAGAAGTGCACTATTGTCTAACACTCAAAAAGTCCTGAGTCCCATCCCCAGCACTAAAAATTCAAATAAATAAAAACATCTGCTCTGCCAAAGGCATTCCAACAGGCTGGAAGGACAATCCTGCTTCGGAG